TTATATATATATATGTATGTATGTATATATGTATGTACGTATGTATATATGTATTCTTGTATGTATGTATGTATGCATGCATGTAGGTATGTATGTATGCATGTATGCATGCATGTATGTGTGTATGCATGTATGTATGTATTTTTGTATGTATTTTTGTATGTATGTATTTATTTATGGAGGTATTTATGTATGTAAGTATGTATATATGTATGTATGTTTTTATATATGCATGTATGTATGTGTATTTGTATTTATGTAAATATTTATGCTTGCCATCTATGTTTGTATGTATGTAAGTATGCATGTACGTATGTATGTTTGTACGTACGTACGTACGTACGTATGTTCGTTTGTATGTATGTATGTATTTTTGTATGTATATATGGATATATGCATGTATATATGTAAGTATGTATGTATGTATGTAGTTATGTATGTATTCATATATGTATTTATGGAAAAATAGATGCGTGTATGTGTATGTATGTTTATGTGTATATACAGGTGCGTGTGCGTGTGTGTGTTTGTGTTTGTGCGCGCGCGCGCGTGTGTGTGTTTGTTTGTCCTGTGTGTGTGTGTGTGTGTGTGTGTGTGTGTGTGTGTATGTGTGTGTATGTATGTATGTGTATGTGTGTGTTGTGCGGTCCATACTGATTGTAAATACTAAAACTTATCAAGTTTCATCTATGTGTTTGTTTTTGAAATTAAACTGAACAATTACCATATTGCACGCTATTCGTGACTCGTTTCCTTTGGTCTTTAAACGTTAGTATATGCATTGCCACTACAGAGTGGCATTGAGATATCATTTCAATCTCCCAAGAGAACATATGGATTTCTCAGCCGTATGTATGCCGATCGTCTCGTTTTCTCTTTGAATATTTCTTACAAGCGCAAACTGCCGTTCATCGCTACTCACAACATTGGCTGTATATATGAGACCACATACAAGCACTCGTCCTGACTTCTAACCCCCATGCTTGGTTCATTCTCGTATCACTGTGTACGGCTGTGTATCGTGTGGTGGTAGGCCGTGTCACCTGCGCAAGCAAAGAAGCAGAAAGCTCAAGCGGCATACAACAGCGATAGCGATGACGGTAGCGAGTCTGAACTGGAGGTAGACACCTCTGCCGCACCAGTGGAGATAACACTAGCCACAGCGTCCAAAAAGAAAGGTATGGTACACTGGTAGGTGGTTGTAGTGCATGCCATGTACGTTTACTACCCACAGCGTCTAAAAAGAAAGGTATGGTACACTTGTAGTCAAAGATACGTTTAAGTGTGTATTGATATTCGACTGCGCTTTCTGTTTGGGCTGTAATGCGAGAGTTCATGTGTGATTTTCATACGCCATCACCAGTGTGTGTACACATATACCCCACGAGATATATATACACCCTAGCACAGATTCATACCGTGCGAGCTGTCCCGACTTACGAATAAAAACAGAGACTAATGCCGCTGGTTTGGCGCAGGAGCACACTGTTAATTTAGTGACCTATACGCTTTGGTAGGACAAGCGCGTGTATGTAATACCTAAGATAAGCGCAGCTGGTATCGTTGTAACATTCTCTCCGTGCAAAATACGCAGAGAAAATGAAAGACGCGAGTGCGAGGAAGAAGGAGGACGTATCCGTTGCAAAGGCAGACGCTGGCGCTACTAAGAGTTCGGATACCAAAAGTGCAGACGACAGCGCAGAAATAGAGGAGGACAGTATAAAGGACAGAAAGAGTAATAAACAAAGCCTCGACAAGAGCGGTAGAGATGTGCAGGTAATTGTTTCATATACACACACA